GGGGCAGGCGGGATCGAACTCATGCTGAAGTGGCTTAAGCTTCTTAGTGCAGTGCTTTAATCCACTGCACCACCAGGGAGGGCCATCCCATTGGACTTTTACTAGAAAGCTGGAATTGGTATTTCAATGTTCAGAGGAACATTATTCTGTTCCTCTCAGGTTCTCCCTGTGATTAGAGTTTACACTAATAATATATTCTCTTCTGAGTGTCAACTGAAGTATTGCAGGGCCTCCCTGGTGGCACAGGGGTTAAAGTCTCAGTGCTATCAAGCTATCACCAGACACTGTAGCATGAGTTTGATCACCCATCCAGGGAATTAACCGACATGGCACAGCAGACATCTACTGTCTCCACCAGTGCAACTCTCAGCAGTGTATTTCTGTAGCTTGCCTGTTCTGCTCCCCACTCTGTCACTGGTGAATCTTCTCAACTCCCTGCCTCTGGCCTGCACCACAAGTCTTGTATGCATAAATAAGTAAAAAAATAAATAAATCTTTTAACAAAGTAAGTATCGCAGGGTTTTAAGATTTAATAGCATTAAGTCTATCATTGACATTTAATAGCAGTGTGAACTTGGTCAAGTTATTTAGCCACTTTCAGCCTAATTTTATTTAATTTGTGAAATATTATGTCCAAAACCTATTAAATTTACTGTCTGCTTTTAAAGGACAACTTTACTCTTATAACAATCTCCATCCCACCTTCCTCCTAGCTTTGAAACATATGTACACATCTCCTAAAAAAGGTAGACTAAAATCCTACTATGCTGCAGAATAGTGTGCTTAGTGCAATCACCCCCTCTGTCCAAATGCAAATATTTTCTAAGTGCTGAGGGGAATAAATGGTCATATGACTACTTCTAAATCAAAATGACCAAAAGGAATACAGTTTCCATTCTCTACCCTAAAAAAAGTGAACTTTAAACTGAAACATGAAGGATGAGGAGTTACTGTGATCAAGAATGGGATTAGAGCACTTCAGAAAGAGGAAGAAATGAGAGGTCCTGAGAAAGCAAAGAGCACTGTATTAGAAAAGCAAGTGGGCAAAATGTTGTAAATATAAGAAAGAGAAAACACTGACAGTTCTAAGTAAGGACAGAATATCATTTGATTTATAATTTAAAAAATCACTTTTATTGCTTTTGGTGAAAATGGACTAAAAGAGCCAAAGTGGGACTTAACGAGACCAATCAGAAAGTATTTGAGGTCATTTGGACAAGAGGTGTCTTAGACTAAGGCAGAAGAAATAAAGTAGGGAGATTCAAATTGTGCTCTATATGTAGAATTGGCAGAACAAATAATAATAAAAAAAATAATTGTAGACTGTTACTGAGGGTCAACTTTGTATCAAGATATATGATAGGTACATCACAGACATTGGTCCTAAAATTTATAGGATCCCCAAAGGGATGGACATAATGATACAATGCCCAGATTCCTCATCAATCCTCAGGGACTGTTGCAGTTGCAGAGTTACTATCCTTAATATAAGTACTTCTGGGAGTGGCCTACATCCAACTACAGTTCAAAAGCAAAAGATCTTGAGATTCTGGTCTCTGTGAATTAACTTTCACCAGCTCCAGTGCTACGTGTGAGATCAGTTGAAACTCTCAGGCTTGTACCACAGTTTTCTCTATATCCAGTTCTGCTCCTTTCCACAGATGTTCATCTCTAGTAAACTCCTGAACACCAAACTAAACTCAGGGCCCTCTTTCCTTATTGGATAGAGAACCCAAATTGCAATAGGTGGCATTACCTTCTGCTGTGAAGATGAGGAAAACTGAGGCTTGAGGATTATTTCTTTTTGGAAACCTGATGATGCACTTGATATCCTACAACTTCCTCTATACTCAAATATTAGCAATAGATCCTCTATACTCAAATATTAGCAATAGAATTGTCGGTTCTCAAATTAAACCTTTGCAAGCTCTTTTAGTATCATAGGATATATTTATCTTCATTTGGAAACCTGACTAGTTAATGCAGTTAAATTACACTCTTGGTTTAGCAATATCATCTTCTAAGTTTGCTAATTTCTTCACCTGGTTTTACTTAACTCTTTCTGCTTTGCAGATAATTCTCCTCAACAGAGACTATAAAAGCAAAATAAAAGTTTTATGACTCCCCCCCTTCAATAATCAATTAGTGATTACACACAATGAACAGTGGGTGTATCCCTACTTATAGCACACAATGTTATTAAAAATAACTCTTTGTTTCCTTGGTACTTTCACCAAAACTTTTACTTCTTTCTTAATTTTCCTGGTAAAGATCACATGATCATTTTTGTTTTTTTGTTTTAATACATGTTAGGTTAGTCTTCTTGATTACAAAAAAAAAGAAAGAAAGAAACCTGTTAAAATGAATCCTTAACAATTACAGAGTTTATCAGATTCCTCCCATTATCTCTCCAATTTTCTTCCTCATTAGCATAATTCATCAATTCACTGCCCATAAGAAACCTCTTAATTTAGATGAAACACTTATTATCCATGTTGGAAAGATAAGAAAACTGACATAAGGCAGAGATTTCATGTTCCAGATTAAATAAAGGGAAAGTTAGTTTTAGAAATCATAAATCATAATCTCAGTTTTTTAAAAAATCATATAGACAAATTCTAAATACCATTATCCTATGTCAGTAAATTAATAACTGAGAAACTAGTGAGATAGGATTATAAAGCAAGGGCAATACAGCAAGGACTAAGCACCACAGCAACCTACTTCCCGGTCCTACCAGAAGAGACTATCTCTTCAATGTGTGATGATCACACAGTTCTAAAGCTGCTGTTTTCATCTTTTTCTTTCTTACTGATTTGACACAAAGGATGTGAGATCAGAAATAAGTCTAGTATGTAGGTCTGATCTTACCTCCATTTTTTTTAAAATGGATTTCTTTCAAATTATGTATTTGGACTTCAACACACCATTTCTTCTTTTAAGTCAATTAGGAGAAAACATGACCAAAAAACCCTTAAATGTCTAAGTCTAAAAAACTTAGCTGTAATAATAATTTCTCTATAAACATGCAATACATAATAGATGCATATACATATTATATAAAATACTTTGGACTAAGGATAATAGTCATTGAGCTAAAGAATAAAACAAAAGCTGACTTCTGGAATTTTATCAACTGAAACTTCTACTTCCCAGTATGTATATGTATCTAAGTACCAAATCAAATGACATTTAGAATGATGACAAAAAGGCATTGTCAAACCTTGAGTGAAATTCCTCTTTGAATGCCCAAAGATTAAACCACAATGAATACACAATGAATTAGAATATGGTAGTATTATGAATTAGAATATGACAGCATTAATAATACATTATTAATTCATTATCTTCCTTTCATAGGACTGGATAAAAAATTATTATGGAGTTTTGCTAAAATAGTCTACTTTGCAATTATGTTACCTGCTCTGTATCACTATTTACCATGAAGGGAAACACTGTTATCTATGAAGACAGGTAATTTTCAAATACTCTAGTATTAGAAGACTGAAATTTTGAGAGTGAGTACAGAGAGAACTGAAGTACTCTTTTACAGATATCTTTTGACTTTGTTGTTTTTGTAAACTATATAAAGAAATTTACATAAAGGAAATTACCAAACTAGGTAATATACAAATATATATAAATGAGTAAATAAGCCTGAAAAGTTGACTCACTCAAGATTTTACAGCTACATAAGTAGGAGAAACACTTGACTTCAAAACTATCTTTTCTTTGCAATGTATTATCTCTTTGATCTGAAAAAAGAATAAAGGCAGGGTAGTGTGCTTTGTGTTAAATTCCAAATACTTCGGCACTGGATAGTTAGCTAAGATGACTTAAACAAGTATTTGGTATTATTCAAAACAGTAAAATTAATAATGTATCACACCTAAGTTTATCTGTTTGTAGATCAATTACTATTAAGACAAACAATGGAAGAAGGGAAGAATTTTCAAATGATGAATTTAGTATTTCCCATATATATTCATTTCTCAACTATTTTAATGTATTTTTAGTAAGTCAAGTAATTTTCAAATGCTACTAGATTCCCTAGATAAATGCTCTAGATAAGAGATTTAATTCTAGTTCCAAGCCCTGGCTATCACTAATCAATTATCATGAAAAATTTCAGATTTTCTTTTCAAAACTGAAGGGAATGGAAAAGAATTTTCTAAATCTCTTTCTTCAGAAAGAAAGAATAAGAAATGAAAAAAGGTCTTGATTCCATACATCTCAATGCTATCAATATAAGTAGCTTATAGTTTAGGTGTTTTAAAATTTTACATGTGAATGTAGGTAACAAATATTTTAAGACAATTTTCCAAACAGGCAAACTTGTAAGTTTCTACTAAAAGCTCAAAAAAGAAGTGTAGAGAGTCAGTTATTGTAGTGGTTAAAAATACTGATTATAAAGCAAGACTCTGTGCCTTGGTTTCTGCAATCTATAAAAATGAAGAAACAGCTCTAGTCTTACCTCTGAGAGTTGATTTAAGAATAAAAGAATCCATATAATTTAAAGACCTCACATGTAAACTAATTAAAGAAAAAGTTTCCACCATTATGCTTTGTTTCTTCAGCTTAACTTACTTTTCTGTTTTGAAGAATATTGCACAACCGTCCACATGCTTTCTCTCCTGCTCAGACATGATTTTGGCACGTGACTTTGGAGAAAAAAATCCATCATATCCACGCTCCTTCAATGCTGGCAGAAAGAGAGTGAAGTATTGCTCTGTTTCCACTTCCTAAGGTAGAAGAAAATTTACCAACGTAACAGAGGAAAACTCATTAAGATAACAAAATTAGCATTATGAGTAACAACATATGACTAAATTAAAATAATTCACACAACAAATATTATCTAGCTATCTTTATGTTCTTTTTATACCTAAAAGAATCAGCAATATTATGTGATTTTTCTTCTGCACATAGAGCGACTTAATTCCATGTCTCTTCACTACCATTTTAGTATTCATTTCATTTTACTTCAAGATTGATAAATTAAAAAAACCTGGTCATATTGTAGATTATGTGGTAGGGATAGTAAAGTATGTATATATATAAAGAAGAAATCTTAAAGAATGTTTCTCTTTCTCAATTGAGTTGGAAAGGAATGAGACCCAAAGTAGTAAGCTTAAGATCAACAAAAAGTTTTACTTTAAGAAATTTTTTGGTACATAAAAACCAATTATCCAAAGGTCTATTAATTTAGTAATTATTAGATTAAGACTATTTTATTCTTTGACCCACAAGATATTCTTAACAAATATGAAATGATCAAGTGTGGAGTTAATGATTTACACATGATAACAGTCATAACAACATGATTTTTTAACAGTAAAAACTCAAAGTAAATGTCCAAATTAGGAAAAATGCTAAAATCAATATATATTCACCTAACTGTTGTTGAAGAATTTTTGAAATGTGGAAAGTGCATAATGTGCAATGAGCAAGCAGTGTCTCAACAGTGTGATTCCAATTTTATTTTGAAACTACATCTTCAAATAAATGCAAAAGTAAATTAACAATGTGCACCAGAAATATTTCAGAAGGTTTAACTCAGCAACAAACTCTGGAATATAAAATTGGGTGTTTTTCTCCATCATTATTTTTATTTTTCCAAAAGTTTCAATGTCTCTCGAATGAAAGTTTTATAATACCTTCATAATAGGAAAATTTCTTAAATTATGTTTATATTTCCAAACTATACTGAAGAGAATATGAGGCTATTAGTACTACAAGTACTAAACCAAAAGGAGAACAATTAAGCAATCAGAACAAGCCTAATTTTGTTTGCCCTTCTTTCCCCTAGCCTGTGTTGGTTTGCAGTGTTCAAAAGAAAATTTAATTTTTGAAGATTTTTTTAACTTTTTATTACTTCCCAGAAAGCCATGTGAACTACTGACAACATAAAAATAATTACCCATGTACTTCATTACCAAAATTAAATAATTTTAGAAGTAGTAACTTCTCAGTATGCTGAAAAGGTAAAGTAAAATTACAATTTCTAAATTTTCACAACACTGTTAAGTGTTGAAAGTTTAGAAAAAAACTTTTAATTACCCATGAACTCTCTTGACTATTAGCAGAGTGCTAAAAAGAAGCAGTAAGACATACATTTCAATGGAAAGATGCTTCTTCTGTTAAATTCATTATATCAAAGTATTATAAAATAGAAGACTAAATTGCAGTGGTGATTTTTAAAATAAGGCAAAAATAGCTGAATTACAGTACAATTACTTTTAATGTTTAAAGTGTTGATCACTAAGAAACAATAGCAGGCAATTTTTACAGATTTCAGTGTAAGCTAAACTATATTCCTCAAAAATATACTCTTTTTTTTGCAGTTTGTTTCAGCAATGCCAGTGATTTGTTGGTGACAAGAACTATAAACATGAATAATGAATGACATTATTTTCACTTAAGAAATAGTAAAGGAGTATAAGTGGAGGTTATCCTTAGCAAAATAGTTTCATTTTGAAAATGTATTAAGTGCTTATTAAAATTGCCCTTTTCATTTTCAAGAGAAGAAAAAAACAATTCCTTTAGAATTTTGCTTTGAAAATAGAAATTCCAGTAGTGGTAAGGTCCGTTATTTTTAAATTCACCTTATATTAAAGACAATTTAATTTCTTGGATGTTACCTGAAGACTAATGATATCTGCGTCACAGTTAACAATTTCTTCCATAATTCCCTTTTTCCTGTATTCCCAGTTTAATGCCCAGGACGGGCAATAGCCATATAGCTGCCGGGTGGCATATTTATCACATAACACATTGTAACACATAACTGTGAATGATGCTAAAAAATGGGGGGAAAGGGAGGGAAACAGACAAAAGGGAGAAAATTAGGCAAGTTTTTTAAGCAATATCATGTGCACATTTGTACAAGCACACATGGCACAAACTGTATTCCAAATATCTTCACCATAAAAGCCTTGAGCAAGACTTTGTTATATTACATTCATTAAAACACTTCACTAGCATTCATCACACCAGTATCCTTTTACAAGAATTAAACTAACCTGGGTTAAATCTCAGTGCTATCACTGCTACAGCCTGAGTTTGATTCCTGGCCAGAGAGCTAACCGACATATGGTACAGAAGATCCCTTCTGTCTGCCTGTTGTGGTTCCCCATAGCAACCCTATTCTGTTTCTGGTGAATCCTCTTACTCACTGCAACTACGGTCTATACTCCAGCTATTCCACACAAAATTAATAAATATATGAATCTTGAAATTTAAGCTAACTCTAAGTATGAAATTTTTAGAAAATTTATTTTCACAAAATTTTAAATTTAAAATCAGAATGTTAATTTTTTTGTACAAAATTTGCTGAGGAAAGCTTCTTGGTGAAAATGGAACAAAAAATTAGTTTCATTACCGTTTAAAGGTTCTAATTTTGTTCATCCATACAAACAAAATATACACACTTTTTGGACCTTACTTTCACTGATATGAACTAAGAAAAAAATATGTATTAACAAAATTCAGTTGTAAGAGAATCCTTTATACCAAATCACAAGTTCATTTTAAAATGCCCTGGAACTACAAAGGGCAAATAGTCATAAGACCATGGTTTATATTGTGCTACTCCCAAGTGTGCTTCAAGGACCAAAAATTACCAGTTGTCACCTATGAAGTTAGAAATGTAGAACTGATACCACTGAGATCTGTTGATTCAGAACCTACAATTTAACAAAATCCCCAAGTGATGCATATGCATATGGGACATCAGTTTTTAAAGCCCCACTTTTTTCCAGTAATTTTCTATTGTGGTTTTCCATTAGAATTATAAAAACTTACTAAGTCATTAAGCCTGGGTATATGGAATCCATATGTTAAAGAAACATCCCATGTGATTATAATGGGGGAACAATCAAGACTGAGAATCACATATTTAAATAACAGGTGCCAAATTCAAGTAATAAAGTAGTACTTCATTAAAGTTGATTCTGTTTCAAAAAGTGAAGAGTTATTAAGAAAAACAGTTCACTAGTCTACTGGAGATAAGATTATTGGTCATTTTAAACAACAGTAGTTTTTTCACTATCTGGGATTAAACCTAATGAAGTTTAATTATGTTCTGTGGATGTAAGTCATCCTTAGCCATTGTTAGTTATACACATTTCCCTATTCATGAGAAATAAGCATCTGTTTTTAGCACTCAGATTCCATTAAGGGAAGCAGCACACATCTCCCAAGAAAAAGATCCATACTGGTTATTCAATAAAGAAAACCTAACAACACATTCCATTGAGAACTCAATAAAAATGAAAATTTGTTTCTATTGTTCCTTTTTTTTAAAGGTTTATTTATAAACCTGGGGTATAGGCCAGAGGTGAAGGAGCAGTGAGAGGACTCACCAGAGGCAGAGAGGGGAATAGAACAGGCAGATCAACAAAGTGCACTGCTGAAAGGAGCAGCGGATGGATTAGCAGAGGTCTGTCTCACCATTTGGGTCCACCTCTTTAGAGGGGGGTCAAACTTGTGCTTAAGTGGCTGCAGTCTAAGTGATGCATTTTAACCCGTTGCCCCACCAGGGAGGGCCCCTCTATTGTTACTTTTCTTAATGGAAATGTAGGTACGCCCTTTAAGGAAAACTTTTCTTATGATAGTCTTCATTCATGCTCAGAAGAATTACTTCAAAGAAACAGAAAATGGAACTTGGTAATATCAGAAAGAACAATCAATTTAAACCTAAAATAAATCTGCTTAACTTTAGGATTTGCAGTATTCCTTTACAAAGACCATCAATGTGTATGAGAAAATGAAAACACTGACAACAGTGCATTTTAGGATGTGCTGATACTACTATCTCTAAAAGTGTGGTGGTTTTAAAATGAGTAGCTCTGGAAGACACAGAAATATATGTACACGATGCTATTTCTCAATGTTTTTAAAGTGAAAATAGAAACATGTTACATTTCCCAATACCAAAGCAAATGATTATTTCTGCATCCTATTAAATTAAAAAAAAAAAGTCCACAACCTAAGATGTTAAAAAAAAACAATAAATTTATTGATCTACCCTTCAAAAATTAAAAAATCAACATTCAGTAGTTGTTTTAACCTTCATATTAAAACAATAAATTTTCATTTCCTAATTTAAAAATGGAAAATCATTATACTTAGGACATAAATGAAAGTATTTGGCATGTCTATTTTAAACAGAATTCCCAATCATAAAACATCTAATAGTCAGTTAGGAGTTATAAAAATAATGTCAAATAATTATTGGTTGTCAAAAAGAAATAAAAATTTTTATTTCTATATTGCCGCAGTTCTAGAAATGCTTGAACCATATCCTTAAATTTCTCAATTACTCAACCTACAACATTTCTACACCTATGGTCTGGCATACTTATTTGTTTATACAGTTGCTCATTTTAGTACAGTAAGTAGTTTCTCCCCTCAGGTGTAGTTCCCATAGTACTCCCTCCACCATAACAACAGTGATCCATCACCAGAGTCCTTTGTGCTCTTTTTGTTTACAATTTATCAATAGCATATACAGCTGTAGATTAAATTATTCCTTTACAAGATCTATCAATCTACCTACTCAAGAACATTCAGAGAAAATTCATTACTACTCATTTTCCTGAATTCAACCACTACTACCCTTGGTAAAGGGCTATGTTACAAGGCATAGATAATTCTTGTACACAAGTCTTAATGTAAATTTATTTTTAAAGTAAATGTCAGTATTTTTAAAGTCATCTACCTAGTGGAGATAAAATGGAAGCAAGTTTATTACAAAGTCAAAGTAGTGTTTCAGAATGAAGACAAAGAAGAGTAAGAAAAACTACTTACCTGATGGCAGAATTTGGTCTCGTTCTTTTAATGTAATCCATGGCCTCGGAGGAAGCTGCTCTGGATGAACTGGGGGAAAAAAAATTAACATCATTCATGTGCTTCTAAAATCAGTGTCATTTATGTTATGGAAGCAAATCAACTTTTCTTTTTTCTTCGGTCCACAATTTAATATGGAAATATGATTTAGAAGCTAAAGGAAATTACAGAAGTTATGCAGAAAACACATACCTAATATCCAAAAGGAATGTTAAGGAATTCATTGATGACATTACTACTTACATATTACTTATCAAAAAAAAAAAAAAAACTTTCCCTTTTAAAACCGTAAGTTTTAAAATCTTTTAAAATCTTATGTCTGACACATGTAAAACTGTAAAACTGTACTGACTCAGCTTTGTGTCTTACTGGAGAATCAAAACTATATGTGGTTCTAAAATACCGATGACCCATAACAGTCAAGTATCTTTAAAATACAAATAGCACATATGAATGTATGATAACAAATACTGAATTTTGTTTTTTTATTTTAAAATTTCATTTATGTTAAATATTTATTTATTTATGCATAGAAGAATTTGGGAATAGGCCAGAGGTGTGGGGGGGGGGGGCTGGTGAGAGGATTCACCAGAGACAGACTGGGGAGCAGAAGAGGCAGATCAACTGAATACACTGCTGAGGGTAGCAGCAGGTGAGACAGAAGAGGTCTGTAGTACCTGTGGGTCACCATCCTGGTAGGGGATCAAACTCATGGTACAGTGGCTGCGGATTGCTTCATAGTTCTGCTCTTTAACCCACTGCACCACCAGGGAAGGCCCAAATTACTGAGTTTTCTAATAGGGATTTCATTTCCTAATTTTAATGCTTCTCTCATAATTTCAATGCAAAGCAGGAGAGTCTATGTAATTACATTGTACAGAAAAGGGAAGGTGGTGATAACGTAACCAACATAGCCATGAAGAGTCACTGGAATTAAGATCTCTCTTGGATATAGTAAATAAAGGGAGAAACTGCAGCAAACTCCAGCCATGACTCAGATGTTCTGAACACGACTGGGACCCAGAGGAAACAGGAAGAAGGGGAAAGCAACAGAAGAAGAAATGAGTGGGAGATATCAACCAGGACCTAGTTCCTCCTCCCCCCACCGAACAACCCCTAACTCCTCAACTAAGGAAAGAAAAAGATGATAAAAAAAAAACCTGAAAGCAAAAGCTGAAACATCTGAAAAACATGGAGGTAGAAACAAAGGTCAGCAGGTTGATTTGTGTGGAAAGAGTGGGACTACTACAGATCCACAGGGATGAGACCTATGAGAAGGAAAAGACTCATCTCTCTTGCCACCCTTGGGGGCAGGGCATGGGCCTGGCCACAGTCTGTGGGAATCCCTGGTCCTTTGACACAGCCGAACGCAGGGCAGCAGTCCTGCCTTGAGCAGTGATTCTGAATGTAGAAGTCAGGCAGTGAGAGGCAGCCAGCATATAATATCCACCACTAACCTTGGCCAGGGTGAGCCTCTACTGCTCAAATGCTAGGACTCTATCATGGACTGGGCAACTGGGTGTTGGGTAGGGTGTGACAGCCAGTGCTCAGGACCTCTGGCCATTAGCTGGATATGTGACAGGGTGTGTCCACAGGGGTTGAAACAGGCAGGACTCTGCTGTGAATAGGGAGCCCTACACTTTGGTCCCCAGGGCCTTGGGTGCCAGGCAGGGTGTGACATTTTTCAAAGAAACAGGACAAATACTGATGAGATTTATATGGAACCACAAAAAACCTTGAATAGCCAAAATTCTCCTAACTGAAATGAAGAGAATGGAGGCATCATATGCTCAGACTTCAAGCTATACTACAAAGCTAAAGTAATCAAAAACTACATGGTACTGGAATAAGAATAGACATACAGACCAATGGATATGAATAGAAAACCCAGACATACACCCACAGTTTTATGGATAGCTAATCTTTGACAAAGGAGCAAAGAATATGCAATGGAACAAAAAAAAGTTTAACAAATAGTTCTGGGAAAACTGGGCTGCGACGTGCAAAACAATAAAGCTAGATTACTACTGTGCACCATACACAAAAACCAACTCGAAATGGATTAAAGAACTATACCTAAGACCCGAAACCATATAATATCTAAAAGAAAAGGTGATGAAACACTACACAAGATACACCTCAGTAACATCTTTAAAGATACATCACCCAAAGCAAGGATAGTGAAGGAAAGGACTACATCAAGTTAAAGAGCCTCTGTACAGAAAGAGACACTACACAAAACAAAGAGAGACTGGGAGAAAATTTTGGCACACAATACTAATGACAAAGGACTGATCACAAAGATATGCAAAGAGCTGATTAAACTCAGCAAAAATAAAGTGAACAACACCATCAAAAATGGGTAGACGAGCTAAAGAGACAATTTTCCAAAGAAGAAATGAAGACAGACAACAGGTATATGAAAAAATGTTCAACATCACTAGTAATAAGGGAAATGCCAATTAAACCACAATGAGATACCATCTCACACCAGCAAGAATGTCACATATTAAAGCAACTAGCAACAACAAATGTTGGCGAGGATGTGAAGAGAAAGGAACTCTTCTGCACTGCTGTTGGAAATGCAAACTGATACAACTACTATGGAAAATTGTTTGGAGGTTTCTCAAACTGCTAAAAATGAAGCTTCCATAGGACCCAGCAATCCCACTCTTAGGTAACTACCCAAAGGATACAAAAACACTGATTCAAAAAGACACCTGCACCCCCATGTTTATTGCTGCTCTGTTTATAATAGAGAAAACATGAATCAACCCAAATGCCCAAAAAATAGATGCTTGGATTAAAAAGATGTGGTACATATACACAATGGCATATTATTCAACAATCAAAAAAGATAAACTCATGTCTTTTGCAGCAACATGGATGGAGCTTGAAGAGAGCATGCTTAGTGAAATAAACAAGAAAGAAAAAGAAAAATACCAGATGGCTTCACTCATAGCAGGCACATTAGGGATCAGGGGAAAAACAGAAACTGGAATAAAGAAAAAATGAAAAACAATGAACAATTATAAAACAGATACTTTACAGGAGTGGAGAGGGGGACAGGCTCAAAACTGGGGTGGCTTGGGAAGAGAGTATGGGACAATGGTGATGGTACACAGGTGAACTGGTGATGGGAAATCCATGGGGATTAAAACTGAGATGAAAAAAAAAATCACAAAATTAAGAATGATTTAGAAAAAAAGAAAAAAAAGTCACTGGTAATTAAACATTAATAGTTCCTCAGATATGGCTGTCAATATCATGGAATTAAATGCTACACAGCTATCAAAACAAAATTCACCAAGATTTAATCACCTCTTTTCCTTCCCCCATTTAAAAGTTTGCAAACATAAAAACATTTGTAATTATAGGACTACTTGAGTCAAGTTTAGAGATCTGATAGGGCTGGCTGAGATATGTAGTCTTTCAAAACAAAACACAGCATTTTCATCCACTCCACATGCAGTCACAGAAATTTTGACCAAAGAATATAAGATCTTAAAAAAGTATCACTTTTCTAGTTTTTGGTGTTCAAAAAGCCTACCTTAAAGGATGCCTATTTTAGCAGCAATACTTTTCAAAAAGTGGAATGAACACTGCTTTGCATATTCTACACTTTGCCAAGAAAGCAATGAAGGTTATCATAAGTTGACAAACAAGCCACCCAGCTGGTTCAACATACTAAATCCTGGAAAATAATCATTCCTGCTAGGTGTGCCATGCTAGGATCATGGCAACTATCTCAAAATGGAAAACCCAATATTTAAATACAAAGAAGAGCAAACAAAGAACTTTATAGCTATTGGCAGACTTTTTTTAGCAAATGGCTAATAATTCAGAAGTAAATAAAGTCCTCAAAATACAACTAGTAAGATGATTAGATGCTTCCCAAGTCTTAACTAATACATTTTAACTGATAAATCATGATATATAAGTGTAAGTAATCCAAAAAGCTGGAAAAAAAAAGGAAAAGACATTATGCCAGTAATGAAGAAAAATAAAAACATAGCATAATTTTATCCAGGTTGACAAAAATAATGCCAAGGTTAATTATATCCAGGATTGGTGATGGTAGCAAAATATAGTGGTAGGAATATAAATTGGTATGGCTATCTGGAAAGACAAATTGGATTATCTTCTAAAATCTAAAACATCTGTGTCCCTGTTATCCAGAAATTCTGTTTCCTGGGGTTAGTCCTATGCAGCATTCAAATAGATATTCATTACACCATTGTTTATAATATCAAAAACAATTGTAGTAGTTTACACTATAATTTAAAAGAAAAAGAATAAACACTTGAGTGCTAGAGTAGAAAGATAAACTGTTACACAGGGAAAAGAAAGTAAATGTATGTGTGTGTGTGTGTGTATATATATATATGTATTTTAACAGAAAAAAAAATTTAAATATGAAAAAATTAATTTCTACTGATATAGTTTGTTTTTTGTTTTTTTTTTTTTTTTGGTAAATATCTACAAAAATGTTTATAAGAGGCCCTTCCTGGTGGCACAGTGGGTTAAAGCACACTACTGAGAAGCTAAAGTCACTTCAGCATGAGTTCAATCCTTGTCCTGGAGGTGATCTACATACATGGTGCGGCAGACCTCTCCTGACCTGCCCACTGCTCCCCTCAACAGTGTACTTCGCCAGTCAGCCTGTTCTGCTCCCCACTCTGTCTCTTGTGAATCCTTTCACCTCCTCTGTACCTCTGTACCCCGTCTCTGTATGCATAAATAAATATTTTTTTAATGTTTATAAAATAAATGGTCAAATTGCAATTATGCTCACCTACTTGGAGGGGAAGAGAATTAATGTAGTAGTCAAAGGAAATTCTATTAAAAAATCTTAACATTTTCTTATAAGGAGGATAGTATGTTGATATGTGACATATACGTTAAATTAATTTTTACAAAGATGAAACTAGATAGTGAATAGTATGACAAGACCCAAGTATATGGAGTTATCTGGGCATTTAAGAAGCCCTAAAGTCAAACCAACAGAGGAATGAATAAGAAAAGAACAA